GTCGTGATGATCATTCACAATTTTCAAAAAATAAAGTTGCTCGAAAAGAGAGCCTGCTATACAACAATTTTTAATGGCAGAGGCATCTCCTGTAATTGGACTATACCATGCGAGAAGGAACCCTCCATTTCTGGCTCGACCGAAATGAGAATTTGAATCTTGTGACAGATAAGGCAAAGAAGTAAAGACAACTTGCCGGAACGCTGAGGAGCAGCCTCTTTGATTATACCCCTCGTTAGTTCGTTGGTGCTGAAATTTCAAGAACCCGTACGTTCTCCTCTGTGTTTTACGATTTCCGCACGTATTGAAGTCCGTAAAGAAGTGAACATCCGACGTTCTTGTATGAGAGTTTTCGGGTTTGACGTTCGGGGACCGAGGGAAAAAGTTTAGTCGTATCGTTATTTGCTCGGCGAAGGATCGTAACTCCATTCCAAGGTTGCGATATTGACTCAAATGATTCGACTATTCATATGAAAATGACTGTGCGATTCTCGTCCAAAATATAGATTTTCCTCCCATATGTACCAGAAAAAAAATCTGTGAAACGTCTATTTAAAAATGCTAAATAACTTATTACGAACAAAATCAGAATTGCGACTATACATTTTACAACCTTGAAATGCGGTTACGTTGGTCCTTCATCTGAGAAACGATGGCATGGATCGTACCGCCAAGAGCATACAAGGAAAAAGCCGTCAAATTTCCTCCAGCAGAATATATATATTTATTTTCGTGAAAAGTTGAAAATTACTTACACTTCAGATTAAATCGCGAAGAATATGCTCTAAAAATGTATCGAGAAACTTTCGCAAATGGACTTCATTTTGCAATTAGGAACCACAATTTCTAGCTTGTCCGTAAAAATTAATGGTACACACGTTGAGCCATGAGATTTTAGTTCCAAATTGCACAATGTAGTCCGAAATCCCTACAAAATTATTTTTTCACCGGACAAAATTTGGTAACGCTTGAATGTTTCAAGGCGTTTTCTTTCAGCACTGCAGTCAAGATCCCATGTCGGCTGTGATCATCGACATCTCTGGCTGTATTTCTTGGTTAATGTAACTATGTCCAAACTTTCAAACCAAGTAACAGAATTGTAAACGAGACTGTTTTTGGCGCCAAGTTATGAGGTTTTGATAGCGATTTTTTCATACTAAATGTCATAACTGGGAGGAGGAAATCTGAACGGGATGTTAAGAGTCCTAAAATTATTGTCAGCGCTGAAAACGGTTTCTTCTGTGGTGAAAATAGTCCATAATTACTGATATGAAGACTCTTCCAGCCATATGAAATTGATAGGATAAGACGAGTAGATCCCGCTTCAATTATAAGAGGATTTACTCGCCAGAAAAATACGCCATCGCTTCAGACGACATCGACAAAAGGCCTTTTTTGTTCGAATAGAAAGTTCCGTTTATTAAATTTCTTCTCGCTCTTTTGTGAATTCTCTGACGAGCCTCTCATAACGTTTAGCAATACTCGAGCCGATGGTTAGGATGATGCCTTGTCATGCTTTATTTTTCTTCAAATCTTTTTCATAAATATTTAGATTCTTTTATTTGGAAAACTTTGGGTTTAGAGCCTGCATCTTTACAACTTCCAAAACTATCGAATAATCTTACGAACTGTAGCTTAGGCATAATCGTCTATAATTTCAGTTGTAAAACTTTCAGCAAAAAGATGCTACTTCTATTTTGCAAATTTTGAACAATATTAGACTTTTCTTGATTTGTGTGACTCAAGAATTTAAGTTTCCAGGGTTTCTGGTGGTCTGGGAAACTGTTAACGTCATGGAAAAATTTAGAATTTGCGGCGACTAGGGATAATCAGAGAATTGGAAAATTTTAAAGTCAGGGAGAAGAAAAAGAAGTCGGTGAAAAATCCGGAACAGTCGGGGGATTTGAAAACGAAGAATTTGTGAGTAACCTTTTCTTTCTTTGAATATGCTAGTTAAATTTCTGAAAAGCATTTAATTTTGAGCGTTAAGGTCTGATTTTCCGAAAATCACGACTTTCTGGCAATATATTTATATCAGGTTCAGCCCAAACCTTCCCGAAATTAATTTGATTCATGATGTATCGATTCATTTGATGCGTTAAAGAGCACCAAATACCACGCTTAGAAGTTTTTGAAACTTTGTGGAGGGGCTTTCACGGTCCCGTCGTTTCCGATTGTGATAAAGGAATGATAACAGAAAACAGAGGCGCAGAGAATTTCCCTCCGAAAATCATGAACATGTGCGACAACGACCGCACTGTCGATGAGTCATTCCAGCAGTCTGTGTGTGTGTCTTAGTTAAATAATGAAAGTTTAGGCAAGCGTTGTCAAATGCCTCTTTGTATCAAATTTTCAAAACTCTGAAAACCACACATCAGTTCTGATGAAACTAAGTCGTCTAAGAGGCTGGTAAAAGGTAGGAGAAAAACTTCACTTCAAAAATATCGGATGATAGGTATAGGGAAATTTGGACCGCGTTTAGCAGAAAGGAACCAAGCCATATCAGCTATTGCCAAAACTGCGAAATTTAGTTTTTCACAAAACAACGTTCATGCGGATTCCTTTGAAAATTTTAAAGAGTTTGCTTCGCACCATGCAGAAAATTTACTGAAATTTGCACAAAATTCAGCACAACTGTTTTTATATGAAAAAATAAGTTGCCAAATTAAATTTGGCAATAATTGATGTGGCTTGGTTCCTTTCTGCTTAACGCGGCCCATTTCAGGGAATTTCATGGCAATTTTCATCGGAATTTGCGATAACTTTACTCTCTATTCCCACGTTCTTAATGAGTTTTCACGATTGTTGGATCGATGATTCCGAAAAATCACAACTTTCCTAGAAAAACTGTTATCTTTTTTTATTAATCCTCATAAAATAACGGTATTACCTGCTATTTTTAAGCATTTTATAAACCGTTGATGCAAAAAGTAGGGCATTCTTATGCAATGCGCTCTGTGCTAGAAAAAGCCTGGCAAAGGCAGTAGATGTTCGGAACGTTTGCTTCTAAGAAACTTCATTATTTTTGATGTCAAAAGACCTTGATCGACGTAGCTTCATCTTGTGTTATTATTTCGGCGCTCCTCTGACGTAAGGCCGTACCTCGATTTTCGCATAGGCCTCAGAAAGCATGGGTTTATATGTAAAACAGGGCTCATGTGGAAATTGAGGTACGCCCTTATGTTAGAGAGGCGACGATTTGTCAGTCAAGGTCGATTGACAAGCAGTTGATCCAGCAAGCTTGTTTTTTGAAGAAAGGTGTACCCGCCTCATTTCGAGTTTTCGATGGAATACTACTCGCCGAGAGAAGATTCACCTCACTACTGAGTAGTAATATACAGACTTTAAATTCTCCCTTTAACATTTGAATATCTCCTTCGGTGGAAAAAGAGCGGAATTTCCGAGCTACTTCTCCCAGCGAAGGGTGCTGTCTCATGATAAAAACTAATAGTAAGGGCATGAACTGTGAGTTTTAGTATTCTCATCGAACACGCATGATCATTGAGCACAACACAATAACTGCACACAAATACTTCTAAAAATGGCATCCAGAGCAGTTTTTTGACGAAAGGCGCACCAAAACTATTAAATAAATTTATTTCTCGCGGAAACTCTCCGCAACCTCTCGTGATATTCATACAGAAACGTCATTCAATACGATTCAACGACTGTCCTGCCAAGTTTCAAATATTGGCCCACGGTGCGCCTTCGTTTACGTGCGTATGCAACACGGATGCTAGTTGAGTTCAAATAGTTGTATCTTGCACCTGGATTTGTGAATCTTTATTGAATGAACTTGTTCAACAGATTGCAAGGCTAAGATCGAAAATCGATTAGGTTTATTTCGAAAAAAGGGATTCAACAATCGATCAGCTGCCCTGATTTTATTCCTCCCTCGTTTAATGACCTCGATTGGCAAAGCCTAATGTTGCTATAGTATCAAGGTTATCAAAATGTTGATAAAGGTGATCATTTAGCCTGTCGATAGAGGTTCTTATGGTCGACCAGTGTTCCAGTCGAGAGTGGAAAATAACTTTTTAGCCCTCACCAAATCTTAATTAGCGTCCCAGGCAAACTGATATCAACGTAGCTGCCAAAGAATAAGTGTAAATAAATACTGCTTTGATGTTAAAACTCTTAATACATGTATCCCGAATTATGTCACTGCGAATTTCTTGTGTTTTTTTATTTTTTTCCGAAGGGAAACTCATGAACGACATTTCCCCAAAAATTTACCGATCTTTCTTCATCCTCTATGAACATTTCAACGAGTAACATTCAATCGTTTTTAACAAAAGTTGCAGTTGCCTTCTTGATTGGTCGTACCTGCTCTAGTGTTCCGCCAGACAGCATTTCTCTGTGGGAGAAAATTGTGCTCGAATGAGCTTTTTTCCTTCTTCATGAGAATTTCAATTTTATTCTGAATTTCACCGGACGTTGGCAAATTCGCCAATTCTCTTGTCGTGTAATTTTTTGTCTTTAAAAAATTAAACAGTCGCAATTATTCCGAAAAGTTACGATTGAGATTCGTGACTTTGCATGTTAACCATTATTGTTTCCTGAGACCGAGGATATGCCTGCGTAAACTGGGATACTTTTAAGTTCAAAAGGATTAAACTTGCTTGAAAGTCTGTTAAACTTTTGAGTACCTATTCCGAAGTATGCTTGATTCCGTAACAAGTCTGTTTTTGCAGAACTTTCATGCTTGTATCCAACCATGAAAAGCTCACCTTTACAAAAATATCGGGATTGTATTTTGAGAATATTTTAGTCTGGAGCGTAAATAGCTGCTGAACAACTCGTGGAATATGCACGTGGAGAGTTGGATATACTCGGTAAGAGCAAAGTGTACCCCTAATTACTAGTAAAGAATATTCCACTCCAAATCCTATCAGTATCCATTTGGTTTACTGTTACAGCTATTTATGCTACGGAGTAATAAACATCTTTGATTTCACTCTACGATTTCGGCCAGTATCAAAAAGCAAAAAAATTCAAACCGGTTAAATAGAGATCAGCGGTTCTCGCACGAGCCGATCCGATTGGTCACGCCGCACCGAGCATCAACTCAGTGTTAATTTAAAGTGTCCATTCACGGATAACCTCTCGCTGTTTACGACTCCTTCACTCTCCCTTTTCAGATTAATTTCACAATTTTTATCTTTTCACTTACACGCCGTTCGAACAGAAAAGGAAAACACGCACTTCAACAACGTACCACAAGTAAACCACCGTGTGTCTTTTAGTGACTATTCTTACAGCGCACGGCGATTAGTACCACCACCGGTGAATAGGTCGATGAAATTTAATTAATTAAATTAAAACCCCGAAACGGATGGACGATGCGGTTGGAGTAAACGTGAATTTTCTGCGAGTTTTTCACGATTTTCCGGTGCGTGAGCGATGCCACGTTGGTGAGCGGCCGCGCGAGGAATCAACTGGTTGCCAGCGGCACGCACCGCCACACATCGCGCGCCCGTTGACTTGCATCGCGCGCAGCCACGCGCAGAGCGTCTCCCACGCGCGCGCACACCTCGCCGGGATCGCTGGCAATCCGCGGAGGTCGGCAACAGCATTCACCGCCGTTTAAGTACGTTTGAATAATCGATTCTACGTGAGGCAGCTTATATCGATAAATCGATGGGCAAATTGCGAAAACATCGTATCCTCGTTGCCGACGCTGCAGATTTCCTGTAAATTCAGTAGACTATTTTCGATAATGGTTCGATGTATCGTGTATCGTGATCGATGTTCGACGAGACTTACCAAATTTGCTTGCATTATATTGTCGATTTGAGTTCCTTTTATTAATTAGTTAAATTATTCCTGCTTTTTAATTTATACTTATTCTGCAAAAATTATCGTTTTGTGAAATACAATCGTGGCTTTAGCGCCCTTAAAGTACGGCCTTAACGGTTGAAACTAGAGTAGCAGCACAGAAAAACCGAAAAACAACGCGAGGACGCTACGTCAATATTAAACTTCCATCGCCTTGCTAAGGCGCAGGGATGCAACTATTTGAACTCTCCGGAACGCGTGAGGTATCACGCCTCAGTTGAAGGCGTTTTCGAATCTTCTGTATTTACATGACGAGATTTTCCGAATTTTTTTGCATTATATTGTCAATTTGAGATCCATTAATTATTTAGTAATATTATTGCTGCTTCGTAATTTTTAATTATTCTACAAAAATTATCGTTTTGCGAAATACAATCCTGGCTTCAGCGCCCATAAACTACGGTTTGGACGGTCAAAACTGCAGTAGCGGCTCAGGAAAGCCAAAAAACCAAGCGGGGACGCTACTACAATATTAGGCTTCCATCGCCTTCCTAAGGCGCAGGGATACAACTATTTGAACACTCCGGAACGCGTGAGGTATCACGCATCAATTGCAGGCGTTTTCGAATCTTCTGTATTTACACGACGAGACTTTCCAGATTTGTTTGCATTTCATTGTAGATTTGAGTTCCTTTTATTAATTAGTTAAATTATCCCTGCTTCTTAATCTTTAATTATTCTGCAACAATTATCTGTCTGCGAAATACAATCCTGGTTTTAGCGCCCTTAAACTCCGGCCTAAACGGTCGAACCTGCAGTAGCGGCACAGGAATGCCGAAAAACAACGCGGGGACGCTACTACAATATTAAGCATCCATCGCCTTGCTAAGGCGCAGGGATACAACTATTCGAACTCTCCGGAACGCGTGAGGTATCACGCCTCAATTGAAGGCGTTTTCAAATCTTCTGTAATTTCATGACGAGACTTTCCAAATTTTTTTCCGTTCCGAGTTCCGTTTATTATTTAGTGAAATTATTCCTGCTTCTTAATTTTTAAATATTCTGCAAAAATTATCTGTTTGCGAAATACAATCCTGGCTTTAGTGCGCTTAAACTACGGCTTTAACGGTCAAAACTGCAGTAGTGGCAGCAACACTACCTCCGACCATTCAGGGAGGCAGCTCCACTCTTATTTAACGCACGATGGCGAAAAACCTCCAACGTGCTGTCTCACGACCCGTGCGTCCACCGCAATCAGTTTGTGGAATATTTTTTCTTGAAATTTTCAAATAATTTAGATCTGATGATAGCGATAAAAATTCTCCAAATAATTGAAGGAAAAATATTCACAGATTCTTCTAATAATTCGCATTTTAACAGAGGAAATTTGGCAACGTTTAAAGACTTATACGGCGTTTTTTCTTAGCACGGCAACCGAGGGAATCCGGTTTTATGTAGGATGCGACGGCTGAACCTTCTAAGTTTCATCAACCTGAATTACTATATTGCTGAATTCCACCTTTTTCTCCTCAGCAAACCCAGGGAAATCTGGGGAATTCCGAGAGGAATTCGAGAAAAAATTTCACAGGTCCCTCCCCCCAGAAAATTCGTATTTTATATATTCGTTTTATTTTTAGAGGATGTTTGGCAACATTCGAATGCTCACGCGACAGTATAGATGGAAATTGAATTGCATCACCATTTTCCGTCTCGGAAGAATTTTCCTGGAGGGACGAAGGACGAAGGCACTTTCCTTGCGGTTACGGAGTACATAGGGAGCGCTCTGCGGACCCCGCGTAACCAATTTTACTGAAGCTACTTAATTATTTTCGGAACTGGAGCTTAATCGCGTGATTAATTAAATATTTCCCATCTTTCCGGGACCCCGTCCCGACGGCCATCCTTCGAGGTGCCCCTCCCCCCTCCCTCCCTCCCTCCCTCTGCCCCGCACACAATCTGTTCGGTTTACGTCGGCAGAAGGAAAACAAAGGATGGGTCGAATTTGATCGAGCTGGAAGCAACGCGCCACACGGTGGATCGAACTAATAGAAGAGGTCGGACATCAAAATTTATATAATTTTTCTAGTTTTATTTAATTAAATTTTTAAATAATTAAATTTTGATTAATTCTTAACTTTTGGTTGATTAATAATTTATCTTTTTGTGACTAAAATTTCAAATTTTTATGTCTATTTTGTCACAAATTCAATTTCAAAGGGCGTTTCACTGAAAAAGAAAAAGAAAAAAAAACCACATCAGATCTAGAGTCCAGACTCTTGAAAACATTGACGAGAAAAAGGACTCTTGATTCAATCAGATTTAAGCTTAATTCAAAAGGAAATCCGCTCAAATTAAGAGGCTTGGTTCTTGATTTAAGCTAGATTCTGATTGAATCAAGAGTACTTTTTCTTGTCGATGTTTTTAAGAGTCTGCACTCTGGATCCAATGTGTTTTTTTTCCAGTGAATTCAATTTCAAAGGGTGTTTCTGAAAGGAAATTTCACGAAAAAACCAAGATTACAATTTAAACATATGTTTCGGGATCAAAATGAAAACTTTCCTCAATTTTTTCCCGCGGATTATCCGTTTGCACGTGCAATTGAAATTATTATCCTTGTGGGAAGCATCCTTTAGTTTGATGAGGTTCAGTTACAAGGACCCAATCTGCATTTCAAAGTAAGCCTTACCTGGGAGAGAACATGATGCAGTTGATGTAAAAATGGTCGTACAACTTTTTTGCATTTCAAATTATGATCTTTTATTTTATCCTTGTTTTCATGGAAGGGGAGGAGAAAGACAAGAAGAAGCCTGGAAAAGAGTGTCAACTTAATTTTGTCTTGATCGTTCTTAATTGCGTTCCAAGCAGAGTATTCTCCCCAGAGAGGTATCAGCATTGCCTGCCGTTTTTAATATCTTTTTTCGCTGAGTGAGGCTCTAATTAATTTTACTATCTCCTTTGTATAGCATATCAGCGGCAGTTCATTTAATATTGAGGATTTATATATAAACGTCTTATTGACAGTGATTTCTTTTCTATGCAAGAAGAGGAATAAGTAGAGGCGGATCCAGTGATTGGGCAACATCGGATTTTCTCCATTTAAAGATTTAAACCTATGTTAAATGATCGATTCTTGTCGGAGCACCTGGCCCCAGCAAGAATTTTGATACATTTCCATAGATTTAAATGGGGAAAAACAACGTTGCCAATTTGCTGGATCCGCCCAAGGGGAATAAAGTTTCTTGTAAGAAAAATACTTAATTAAGAGTGTTCCAGAGAGGGTTCCTTCTCTAACTCGTAAAGTGTAGGTTCAACCGCGTGAAATGTGAGTTACTAATTTACAAAGGATCCTAGCAGAACGCCGCAACTGGCTCAGACGGTCAACTATTCGAGCTTGCGAGTAGGTTTTGAGTATACACAGCCAATTGAAGGCGCCCGGAATGGATGTCAGTGCTGACATTACGCAGTTTAAGTAAGCATATCTGCCGCGCCGAATCTTCTGAAAGTGGTCATTTACATTTTTATTGCCCATCTACAATTTTCAGCTGAATTCAGTTTTTTTTTAGTATTCTGTATTTTTTTCTCTTCTCTTATTCTTTTTCTTCAGAGTTGGTCCCCTCTAGGAATAAACGATTTAATTGATTGCCATTATCAATGAAGTTCCATTCAAAACCTGTCAAACGTCATCAAATCATCATTTGGCGGAATAAAAAGTGTAAATACATCTAGAGATGAGCATTGAGTTATACGGATGACAGAGTCCATCGCGAAGTGTTGTTACGCCCTTATGCCACTAAGGGGACAGAGTGTCGCTGATTTTTATTTTGTGCAACTACATATCTCGGCTTCTTCCATATTTGATACGCTAATTAGTGATACGCACATATACACTGGTTGCTCCACTGGAGGCACGGATGAAATCAAAGTGGAAGAAAACACCCTCCCACACCGAGGTGAATGACATCATACGTCGTCTTTTTGGAAGGGCGATATCTCCGCTAATAATGGAAGTGGAAACTCGGCGTTCGACTGTTTCAGTCCATCAATAAGGAGAAGTTGGTGATGCCAGAGTTACAGTTCTTATCATTGAGTTAAGATCAAAATTTGGAGAAAATTTTTCCCGTAAAATTTGTATGAAGCTAGAGCATTTAGATTCTTTCACAGAGAGGAAAATCACGATAACTCATTAGCCGTACCTGATAGAGCTTACTAGGTTTTGAATGTCCGCTCTTCAATCTCTCTTGTCAGCAGTTTTTTTTCTTTGATTTTGGTATTTAACGCTCGGAGTAGTATTATTTGGACCGCGCTTAGCAGAAAGGAACCAAGTCACTTCAGCTATCGCCAAATTTTACTGCGCAATTACATGATTTACACAGGAGAACGTTTGTGCGGACTCCTTTGAAGAATTCGAAAAATTCACTTCTTGCTTTGCAGAAAATTCATTGAAATTTGCAAAAATATCCGCACAGCTGTTTTCATGTAAAAAATGAAATTTCCCAATTAAATTTTCCCAAAGCTGATGTGCACGGAGAAAAATCTATGCTTTATAAATCGACATATTAGTGGTTCTGTATAGAACACCACTAAGAGTCGAAAATGAACTAATGATTCTCAGTCTGTGAACCATACTAAGGTATCACGTACCA